TGTTTACCCTTTTGGTACTACATTATGATTGTTTGGATGCTCATCAATGGATACTAATTTTTAAGATCTATGTTTTCTATCTTTTTAGACGTTTTGAATAAGTATATAAATCTTGTAATATTTATAGGTGCAGAAATAACCGTCATGTTTGGACAGCCTTTATAAGAATCAATACAACAGGGCATTTCAAGAAGATGATAAACAAGAGCATTCTGGTTTTTTTATGCCACTACCCAGTGCAGCATTTTCAAATTTGTCCTCTAGCTCATAATTTTCAACTACTTCAGCTCAACAGCAGTTCCTGCTTTAGCTTCAGACCTGAAAGAAAGGACAAACTTATCCATAATATCCCTGCACGCTTATTCGCACCCATTCAAATGTAGCTGCCAGGTGCTACCCTATGAGCATAGGAAAGTGTTTTATATAATTGCTTTTTTTTCCTTAAAAATGTCAATAGCTGTAAAAGGTTAAGGGCTATGTAGAATCATCCATCCTTCATCTTTCCTTTAATCCATGCCTGCTAAGAAGGAGGGGAAGGAAAGAAATGCACAAAAAGGTGCTAACTTGCTTTCTTTTTCAACAAAACTTAGAGTCACTGAATGGTTGAGGTTGGAAGAGACCTCTGGAGGTCATGTTGTCCAAATCCCCTGCTCAAGCAGAGTACTTTATAACACTTGCAATTATTATTTTATTGTACCAGCAACTGAATATATACAATGTGATTCTGTAAGAGTACAGAGAAATTCTGTCACGTCCAAGGACATACATTCATGTAACATCAGTATGAATATATTAATGTTGCATATTAAGTTCCTATCTTTTTGTGCAGAAGCAACAGCTTTAGTTTTCTGTGTACAAAGTGTACCTGTACACTCTGTGTACATATGTAGATGGTGGTTCTCTCTGTGGACTCGCTTCCCTTTAGAGCATCTGATATAGACTCCTTAAAGGAATTCACTCTGAATTTACATTTAGGGTCCAGAAAATTTATCTTTCCAGTTAGTTCTCTTCACTGGGAACTTCTGTTTTACTTGCCAAAGCTCTTCATTGTCCTTTCCCATTCAAATAATGATTTGTGCAAAAATGTTCAATTATTTTATTAGAAATTAGAAATACAACATACTGAATAAGTGAGAACTTGAAAATTGCCAATACTTTCTATGACACTTATAGAAACTTGCTTTGATTTTTTTTTGTTGCATTTCTGAAAGTTTTGTAATCTTATTTCCATAAGTATTCATTGATAAGCACTTATTTGAAGAAGTGGATGAATGAAGTGACTTTGTTTAAAGTTGGCAATTTCCTTTATTATCATGGCAAGGTGTATTACATTATTTATGCCACATTCTATATAACATTTCATATTATTAAGCATATTATTTTAAATTTAGCATATTTTTGACAAATTGTAATTAAAACTCATTCAGAACTATGGAACTTACACTTTTTTTTTTTCCAAGCAGTATTTCAAAAGGCTCCACTATGATTAGATTACTAAGTCAGGTATAAAATAAGCCTTTTCACAAAATTGTTGAGAACTGATTCTCAAACATTAACATTTAATTTTTATGATTTAAAATAAGTGTGTTTTCAACTAGGGAAGAAAGGTATGTAATGAATAAATACTTTATTATTGTAGAGCACAAAGTGAAACTAGTATTTTGGGTCCATTTGGTACATACTGGAACACTGTAAAAAAAACCACTTAAAATCATTGCTGCTTATAATGTATTTTTTTGCATTGTTTAAGAGTTGTTGCAGTAAAGCTAATCCCAATTTAATTTAGGGCAAAACTTTTTGATGAAAAAGGAGTTTTTCAAAGTTGATTGAAAGGCTATATGTGGTATGACATTAACATTTCATCCAGTCACAGAATTAGTACTTTTATTGATGTCATAAGATATTATGACAAAATTTCACATTGTTTTGGTACCATAGATATATTAGGATATGATTTTTGAAAGCAGTCAGGACAGGCCTAAGTTGGCTTTAATAGTAGTTGGCATTAGTTTTACATTGACTTTTGCAGGAGCAGATAAACTGGTGCAATTTAAGAAAGAACAGAATTAAGCCAAAGATGAACTTTTAAAAAATGAATTTTATAAATTTTCATTAGTTTTAAAAATAAACCATAACACAGATACTTTTAAAACACAAGACAGTCCAATTTCTGCCTGTCATCAGAAGAAGAAAGTACATAAAGAGCCTAAGACAGGTGAGAATGCTGATGACAGCCATGCTTCTCACCCTGCCGCAGGATCTGGCCGTGTTCCTGTCACTCTTTTGGGTGAGGGAGATAAAGGAGAGAAATGTTGGAAAAGTATTGGCAATCATAAGAAATCAGACTTTCAAATGTTGTGAAACAGAAACCTGTATGAACAAATGGGTTGCAAGTAGGAAAAATAGGACTTGCGACAAGTAGGGCAGTAGTAAGGACAGGGAATGCTGAATGAAAAGGAAATTATCAATCACAAGGAGATAGAAAAATACGTAACAGTCAAATAGTTAGGTCTCAGATGTCTCACCAATACCAAGATTAAAAATGAAAAACAAAGTCTTCCCCACAACTATGGCAAATGAATATGACTATCATTGTACAAAGGAGCAATATTGTTACTATAAACATTTCCTTTACCTGCCAGTGAAAATATTGTGTAGGCTTTTCTGTTACTGAATCATGTGGGGTGGGAAGCTGGCCACATCACAATGTTCCAGTGACACTGGAAATGCTCTTTACATCAGTGAAAAACGTATCTCCCCATGGTAAAGACTACTTAACACTGCAGTAAAAAAAGAAAAAAAAATCCTAAAAATACAACAGCAACAAACCAACCCCAAATCCCTTTAAAAATAGGGATTAAAAGACCCTAATTTTTCTCCTCCACATCATATTTAGTCATTAAGAAGGTATAGAGAGGAAAACTTTGCTGTATAAGGTCTCTAGAACTGGACTTTATAGAATTTACTGGTATTGTATCTGTTGAAAAATATGAGCTTTTCAACAAACTGGAATTAAATATCTATTTAAATCTTCCTGACAATTCAGACTGGTAAACACAAATGGCTGAAGTTTACAAAGGAAGTCATCAAATAGATGGGTGGATGTATGGATAAAGTAAGTTTTAGAAGAAGTATCAGAAATTATAATATTTCACGAGGAATGTTGATATCAAAAAAAAGAAAATTAATTGATATGAAATGTCAACTTCCAACATTGCTGACAGGGCAATGCATAAATGATACATCATTTCATTGCTGCGCCATTATTTTTGTTATTTTTATAGTGTTTTTTAAGTCTTTCTGAAGAAAGGAAAATAACTTTGAAGTAATATCTGTCTGTTTATCTGCCTATCCATCCATGTAAATATATACGTTCAATTCTGGCTTATTGCTTAATAACATTCTGAAGAACAGTTCTATAATAAAACAACCCATGCAACAGACAATGAAAACAATTGCATAAGTAAAATGTTCCCCTTCTTTTGAAAAAAGTTTTTACTTTTCCTTTTAAGAGTTCTATCACATAGGCTAACAAAGCATATATTTCTGTTAATATGTATTGATTTAGAAGTCCTCAAGAAAATAATTTTCAAATTATATTTGAAAGACTAAATAGATATTTTCTTTAAAATTACTTAAGCAGAAATATGAAAGCTTAAATGATATTCTTAATCTGAAAACAGTCCACAATGTATCAGGGAGGTGGAAGAGAAAGGAGAGGAAGATGATAGTAGTAGCCCTATTAAAACATTTATATTATATTACATTAGATTATGTTTTGGTGTCTGTTACAACAGTATTCAAGGAATCTCCTGTCAGAAAAATCTTGCTCTTATTTTGGCAACCGGCATAGACACAGCTGGAAATGTACCACTGCGCTGCTGACTTATGCATCACTCCACAGCATGATAACACTGAGTAAACAATGCTGATGCGCAACACCAACATGCAGAAAATGCAGTTCTACTCCCCTGTGGAGTTTGCTCGGGACGTAGCACCACGCAAGGCAATTGTCACTAGGCAATTTCTGAGCTAGACTGACACCTTCTTGAATTATCTGGGTGCCTGAACGATTACTGAGGTCGCTTTTTTTTTTCCCCCTAGTTTATTGATCAGATACAAGTCCTCTCCTTTATAAGGGTCATCCGAGTTCACAAACACAATAGTTGTTGTTCTTCTGAGAATCGCACTATTCAAAACAGTCTGTAGCGTTACTGTCTGTTATGGAAATGTCAACTGAGTCAAAACATTCAAATATTTTTTCTGAGATTTGTAATGAAGTAAAATTAGCTGAGCATCAGCTTTCATAATACAAATACATAAAGCAAGATCAGGTGTGGAATATGTTTATTTTGAAGTGTATGAATGTATTTTCAAGGTACAACACTATACAAAATGAGGTCCTAACCCTATAACTATTTAATAATATGCATAATTTTCCTCATACTAATTTGTTTAAGACTAAGTGTGTGCAACTGTTTGCAGAGTAAATAGCTTGAATGAACTTCTTTGAAGACTTTTTCATTCTACTTTAATTCAAAAAATGACCTTTACAAGAATAAATACTGTTTTGGCACTTTCTTAAAAGTTTCAGTAATTTTGCTTAGCACCACTGCTAAGTAGTTATATTTGAAATGTGGGAAAAGACAACTTATATCAACTATTATTATGCTGAACATTTAAAATGTTATTCTTAGACTGCATGCTGATACTTTCAGTCTTGGAATGTTAAGATGTGATTTGTTATTAAATAATGTCATTTATTTTCTGTGAGCATACTGAAATTTTGCCAATGGGAAAATATTATATAGAAAAGATTTTTTTAATTTTTTAATGAGGTTGTATACAAGTTTAATCTTCAGGACTGTTTATTTCTATTAATTTCTGAATGGTTCATTTCTAAACATCCTTCAGCCTCCTGGCCTACAGCTTAAAAGCTTTAGAAAATGCTCGTCTTTGGGATGAATTTTATTAATAATTTTTATTTTCTTTCCTTCAAGACACTCTTTTTAATGGTCTTGGACTTGGTGCTGTCATTGGCCTGGGAGTGGCAGCCCTTTTGTTAATCCTGGTTGTGACTGATGTTAGTTGCTTCTTTGTACGACAATGTGGATTGCTAATGTGCATCACCAGGAGGATCTGTGGGAAAAAGAGTGGTTCAAGTGGGAAAAGTAAAGAACTGGAAGAAGGAAAGGCTGCTTACTTGTGAGTATTAATCACATATTTTGGAAACTTCATTAAAAGAAAAAGTTGGCTGTCCAACTTATATTAACTTTAAGGCCATTTTGTGGTGTGGCGAATGGAATTAATAAAATGTTTCTGTTACTTGGAAAAGTGTTCCTCTGAAATGTATAGACTTGTTTGTGGTCAAATGTGGCCTTAAAAGAAAAATGGACACAAAGCAGGCATTTGCCATACCTCACTTTAAGATGGCCTCTTTGTGCAGCTTGACACAAAGAAAATCGATCATAATTCAGTAATAGTTACAGGCACATCTTTGGTCCATGAAGAACAGGTAACAGATCATTACAACTCCATTTCTACAAATCCATCTTTGAGCTGCTAATACCCAAAAACTCAGCGCATGGTTGTGGCAGTGCCAGTAAATTTGGGAGTGAAGGGCATAGTACTATAGAAAAAGCCATGAGTTTTTCTTCTCAGATATAGCACTTGGTGGAAAATCTTGTTTCTTGCCCATAGACTTTAGGAATAGAAAGTATTGTTGATTTTTAAAAATAGGAGTGCTGAGTAGGATGTAGGTGAAATGCTGGTGAGTGTGATAGTTCTTCATAGCAACAGTCAATGATTGCTAAACCTAAGTGGGGAATAAACAATCCTGATTCTCACAAATACCCTTGTGTAGTGGCTACTTCATCAGGCAAATGCAAATTAACTGATCATTTATGTGCAAATATGTTCACTTAAATGATAAGAGTAGATAGTGAGATCTCTGGCAAAACAGTTCAAGTACTGATTGCATAAAATAATAGTACTTTAAAGACCAAATGTTTACAGGGTTTTCAAAAGGTAAGCTGGAGAGAGGATTACTTATGGCCCCTCATTTTAGGCAGTTCAATTTTTTTGCTAAAAAAATGCTTAATTTCCCCATTATGTTCATCTGATAGACTTCTTCTGTATACACTGTAATATTTGGGAGAAAGCTGTCTTTGTGTGGTTTAAACAACATTTACTGGTCCAATTCCTGTGTGCTGTAGCTCTCCCAGTAGTCAGACCTTGCAGTTCATTCTCCTGCAGCTTCCCAGATCCCATCCTTCCCCAGATGTCTGAAGAGCAGATCAGATTTTGCAGCCCTCATTATTCATAGCTGTATTGGGCTGCTTTGTTGTCGGAAGTGGAGGTGTAAGTGTCTTTTTTGGTTTTAGTTCCGGCTATTGGGATTCAGAGACTGTGTCTTTCTTAGGTAACTTGATTACATTTCTTGGTTGGGTTCTCCACCCTGTTGGAAACAGGATCATAGAACAAAACCAGTCATAAGCAGGCACCAGAGTATTTACATCAAGTAATGCTTCTGAATAGAAGTTATGCCATAAAATACCTGTTTCCTAATTCTCCACAGCTTACAATAAGAGAAGGAATAACGGCATTTTTCTTCTATTGTGTGAAGCCAGTGCGTCCAGGTCAATAGTATCAAGACGTGAGGCTTCTGGCTCTGTCTCAGCTGTCCTTTCCTATTGAGCACAGCACTTCAGTTTATGCTGTAATTTCCCATTCAAGAAGTGACCAAGTATGAATTGGTGTATAGACCCTCCTGAATGGGAAGACCTTAGGGAGCTAAAGTTGCAAATGTCACTTGACAGCAGTTTAAACCTTGCTATCCACATCTCATACCTAAATGCCATTCCATGCTGTCCCAGAAAAGCATAAAGCTGGTCACTTAATATTAATTCCTCCACCACATTTCCTTTGCAAGAACAACTATTTTATTTAATTATATTTCTTTCCTTCTTGGGGTGATCTTCAGTCAGATCTTAAAATATTTGGGACTTTTCTTATTTTAGCCTGTTCTCTGCATAAACTGTCAGGCTAAAATTTCAAGATAAGCTTGAAGAGTCAAAATTTGAATTTATTTCATGCCAACTGCCATTCCATAAAAGACACTGACAATTTCCCTGTTTTAAATGTGTCAGTTTGCATTCTGGATTTTTGAGTGGGTTTATGGTATGGTTCTTTGTTACATTTTGATTGTAGGATATAAATAGTCATTAATTAGTAGGCATGGTGGTGTTGGGTTGCTGATTGGACTGATGATCTTAGAGATCCTTTCCAATCTTAATGATTCCTAGTTTTCACTTTCATTAAAACTAATCCAGCCACCAAGCCAGGAAACATGAAATTGCTACTCTACCCTTAATTGGTTTAGTGGTGGACTTGGTAATGTTAGGTTAATGGTTGGACTGGCTGATCTTAAAGGTCTTTTCCAACCTAAATGATTCTATGATTCTATTCTATGATTCTATGTTCCATATGTAATGAATGTAGATGATACAATTCATGTAACATACATACAGCCACCAGGATCAGAAATGATATAATGTGTTTCCTACAAATCACTTTCCCTTCTGTGGAATTTTTAATTGTTACTCAGTTTGTACTTTCTGTACAGATCAATTCCTCAATTCTATGTGAATGCTGTTTGCAAATAATGTCTTTTTTAGGCTTTTGGTCATGCAATAATGTATATTTGTCTGTAAGACTGTAGATGTACAGACAAACCAAGTAGATCTTACCATTCCCTCCACCAGTCCTACTATGATCCATTATCTTTTCACAGATATGAGGTAGCCATGACAGTTATATGCATCATCTACAAAAATGAGCATTGTATACATTTATGTACCTTAAAGTAGAATTTCACATGCAGAGATCAATAAGCACATACAGTTTTTTTTTAAAAAAAAAAAAACAGAATGTTTTAGACTTCTACCTATTAATTCTTCCCTAGTCAACTTCTTGGCTACACATTTATCTGTGCTACACTAGAAAGATTTTCCTTGATGATACCTACCAGAGGATGGTAGAGTTTTCCAGGTACTTGCTGAACAGATGGATTATTTTAGTTGTAACAGCCTGTTTAATGAGGAACAATATGAAAATGTGAGATATGAATTAGACAAAGGTTTAACTAAGTCTTTGCTATGGCACATAGCAGTGTGACTGCTCTCTAGAACATCACAGGTCCAGAAAATAGTCTGTTAAATATAAAACTGACTGTTCATCTGTAACTTAGTTACCCTGTGTTTTCAGAATGCAGCTGATGAAGTTCCAGGATACAATTCCTGATCCGATGACAGGAATAGGGATAAAATATTTACATAGAAAGAGGTTTTATTTTGGAAATATCAAATATGTCTTGGGTATCCTTTGATGTGCCTTTAGAGAGTAAAATTATATGCAAGTTAATTAGTACTAATATTGTTAATACTTCTGTAGCGGTGAGCAGCTATTTCCATATCATAGCCATATTATTGAGAGCAGCCCTGTAGAGAAGGACTTGGGGGTACTGGTGGATGAAAAGCTGGACATGAGCTGGCAGTGTGCACTTGCAGCCCAGAAAGCCAACCGTGTCTTGGGCGGCATCAAAAGAAGCATGGCCAGCAGGTCAAGGGAGGTGATTCTGCCCCTCTGCTCTGTGCTGGAGTACTGCGTTCAGCTCTGGAGCCCTCAGCACTGGAAAGACATGGACCTGTTAGAGCAGGTCCAGAGGAGGGCCACAAGACTGATCAAAGGGATGGAACACATTTTCTAAGAGGACAGACTGAGAGAGTTGGGGTTGTTCAGCCTGGAGAAGAGAAGACTCCAGGGCTCCTTATTGCGGCCTTTCAGTACTTAAAGGGGGCTTATAAGAAAGGTGGGGGTAGACTTTTAGTAGGGCCTGTTGCGATAGGACAAGGGGGAATGGTTTTAAACTGAAAGACGGTAGATTTATATTAGACATAAGGAAGAAATTTTTTACGATGAGAGTGGTGAAACACTGGAACAGGTTGCCCAGAGCGGTGGTAGATGCCTTATCCCTGGAAACATTCAAGTTTAGATTGGACGGGGCTTTGAGCAACCTGATCTAGTTAAAGATGTCCTTGCTTATTGCAGAGCGGTTGGACTAGATGACCTTTAAAGGTCCCTTCCAACCCAAACTATTCTATGATTCTATGATTGTCAACAAAAGCATAGTGACAATCCTCACTGTTCCATCTTCCTTACAATTCATTGTCCAGTTAGCACAAAGGTTGTTCATTTACTTATATATGAGAGACTAGCATTTGCTCCTAAAATGGGGGAAGTATGACATAGAAACAGTTTCTTCTACCAGTGTGAGCAGAAGGGGCTAGATTCTTATCACACAAGGGCTCTTTACCCCTTTCTGGCAGCTGGGATTGTCACAATCTCAGAAGATTAAAGTACAGTGTGTATACTAATATAAAGGCTCTTTACACTGCCAGAAAAGTTCAAGCATAACTAGGCATCAAGTCCTATATTTATTATACTAGGTTAGGAAAGTTTACATCTATTCTCATGAAGAGGCCATCGTCTTACTATTTAGTCATAAACAAGATGCTCTTTTGAGATGCTAATACATGATGTTTGTGGAGTTAGGTAAGTAACTGCATACAGGATGCTTTCAAGACTTCAAGGAAACGGGAACATACTGTTAAATGTGTCTGGGTGGAGTTAATCACTGATAATTAGTTCTGCCTTTTCTTTGCCAACTTTTGAGAGAAGCGTTCTTGGTAGTTAGTTATGTGCAATGTATGTGGTTAATATGATGATATATGACTAAGACTTAATAATTTTTAGGAAAGACGGATCAAAGGAGCCAATAGTGGAAATGCGAACAGAGGATGAAAGAATTACCAATCATGAAGATGGGAGTCCAGTAAATGAGCCAAACGAGACAACTCCCCTCACAGAACCGGAGTAAGTAGCCTGACATTCCCTGGAGTTTCCCACAAGCTCCTCCTGGCTGTGAGGACGGACTGGGCTTCCCGCAGTCCAAGAGAGAGATACACAGCATCACCACAATGGTGTGCTGTGGCAATGCAGTACAAGAGTGTGATTTTTTTTTTTAATTTTATTTTTTTCACAATAATAGATCTAAATCATGGTATCCCACGTACAGTGGCTGAGGTGATCACTAGACATTTTTCTCTTCTTTCTGTGACCCAGAGTACAACCCCATCTGGGCGTTATCAAGCCCTTGGATGGCAACACTGCGATAGAGGCAATCCTGCAGTATATCGTCACACCACCACCTGTTTGGAGGTTAGCGAGTATCCAGGGAAATTTTCTGGCCCTCCCTGCTGCCCTGACTCTGGTGCTCTTGGTGAAAATAGATCTTGTGCCCTCCCCATCCCACTGGTCCCCCCTACCTGGGGACCAAGAGCCCCACAACAGCTCCAGCCTCATCAGTAGCCTGTGCCCAGCCCTCGTGGGACATGGACCCGCACCCTGCTGCTGCCCACAGCTCTTCCCGCTGCATTCAGGGACTGGAGGGTGAGGGCAAGGCTCTGCGTGCACGCTCTGGCTCTCACGCTGCACCAGAGCTTGCCCCTGATGCTCCCCTGCCACTCCCTGCTAACCTCCAAACCCCATGGAGGATCACAGACAGCAGAGGCAGCTCACAGCCCTGCCACCTTCTCTCTGAGCCCTGGCACCTGCAGTCACCTCACCTCCCAGCCCTCTTGACCCTGCACAAGTTAGTGGCTGAGCAGGAGTACAAGGATTTTTTTAGTATGGTGCACCTGACTTTTACCACCTACCCAGCAGTTATTAACCGCTCTGTGGGAATAATGTCCTGACTCTCAGGAATGGCCTTGAATTGAGTCAAACACACATCCCCACACACACCCTGTATGTAGGGCACAATGGTCACATGCTCCAGAAACCCAGCTCCTCACGGGGTAGTCCTTTCCTGCTTTCATTCATGTAACTGAGAGCTTAGCTGAGTATTTAAGTCCATGTGGTATAATGGGATTAATAGCACTGAAGGGCAGCCACTTTGCTTGGTTCCCTCATGCCCCATTCCTGTCTCTGCAAGCTGCTCTCAGCACAGAAACCACAGCAGTTCTCAACCGGGCTTGCAGGTTCCGGCTGCCTCCTGAGTCAAGGGGACCAACCTTGGGCTGGCGGTCAGGTCCTCTCCTCTGTTTTGCTGCTGTAGCCCCTAGAACAGATTAAACTGGGTAGAGTGGCTGATGTTTGTACCTCAATAGCACTTTCCAAAACCTGTGTGGAGGATAAAGTAACATTTGTGATAGGGCACAAGCAAGCTGGTGTATTGCTAGCTTACTATTACAATGAGAGCTTCTGATATGCTTTTTTTTTTCTTCTGAAAATTTAGTTTGAAGAGAAACTAATATTTTAACAAAGGTGATGATAGTACCCTTCCTTCTATTGAGAACCCACCTAGTAGTGTTAAAGGACGTGAACTGATTGCTCAAGAGCTTGAATTTCTGAACCTCAAAAGTTGATTGATTTTGAATTATTAAAGAAATCTCCAAGCTTCTCTGGTTTGAGCCCAAAGCGTTTCATGTATTGTGAAAATCTCCTACCTCATAAGTGCTTAAAGCTCTCAGGGCTACGAAGACACTTCTGTAGTAAATATAGAAACTAACCTGTTGATTATTTGATTCAATCACAGTCTTTTTTTTTTAAATTGAACTGCAAAAGCCAGAACCTCTAATAAGAAAAAAGCCTGTGTTATCGGCTATCATTGGCATTTGTACTAAATGGGGGGGGAGGTGTTAAGTAACTGCACATTAAACTATATACTTCTTTAAAGAACCTGTACCTGAAGACTTCAAACTTGTGTTAATTAAATAATTACGGAATTTATTGAATGACTAGTGTCATATGACACTATGTGTGACATATGTTCACTCTTCATATTAGGATTTAAAATGAGGGGCACTGTAGAGAACCCACAGTTATCTAAGAAGTCAGGGGAAGGTAGTTCTAAACATTGTAGAAGTCCAGTGGGCCTTGGATACGTTAGTAGGTGAGGGACCAAGGCCACATTTTTTCATTCTTCAAGTCTATTTGTAGCACCAGATCTTGCAAATACAAATGAGATGCATCTAGCAAGGGACATGATACCAGGAAAGATTGAGTTCAGTTCATTCTGCTTGACCCAGTCATTAGAACAGCTGACAGGAGTGAAATATGAGAAAGTTAAAATCAAAAATCTTTTGTTATCTTAGGGGAGGGGGAAAGAATCAGTCACTGGTGGCATGAAGGAATAACTAAATCATAGGACCAAGTGATAAAGAGTTTGATGGGTATTATGTCCTTGGGAGAATAGGACTGCTAAGAGATATTAATAATTATAAATTATTAATTAATTATTACCTTCTTGGTAA